ACTTCCATAATTTAAAAGAAAATAATATTTTTATCAATTCTACAAACATTCATACATATCTGATAACACACTTGGAAGAAATTGTATGAATTTGTTCTGCAAATGGTCAAAACCCGAAAATTCACCTAAAATCACCTTCAGTGTTAAATTGGTATCTTTGACCGATCATAGCACAAAAACGAACACACAGACATATATTTTTTTTTGCATTTTCTACTATGCCATTATCTCCTTTTTCCAAAAATCAATATAAGAAAAAAAGTTTAATACAGGAATTTTTTGACTTCTCAGAGGTGTACATCCTTAAGGTATGTATAAAATAAACAAAAAAATAAAACTTATCGGTGATAGCCATCAGATAAGCTCAAATAAGCAGCCATCCTTTGTGTTCTTAGAATAAACTTCCGAAATAGGGATCAATCAGTTGAGAAATGATAATTACGGTAAGAGATCAGCGGTAATCATGTGAGGAATAGTAACAAAGACAACACCGTCATAAAAGAGGGAACGAACGTTAATTACAATAGAAGAGGAACAGTAATAGAAAAAAAGTGAAGGTAATTCAGAGAGGAGTTTTAATAGAAAATAACAAGTAATTGATAGATGAACTGTTATTAGGAGAGCGATGATAGTTCAGAGAGGATCTGTAACTAGGAGAGGAGTGGTAATTAAGAGTGTAACTGTTATTAGGAGAGCGGTGATAGTTCAGAGAGGAACTGTAACTAGGAGAGGAGTGGTAATTAAGAGTGTAACTGTTATTAGNTAATTAAGAGAGGAACTGTTATTAGGTAAGGGGTGGTAATTCAGAGAGAAACTGTTAATTAGGAAAGGTGTGGTAATTAAGAGAGGAACTGTTATTAGGTAAGGGGTGGTAATTCAGAGAGAAACTGTTGATTAGAAAAGGGGTGTTAATTAAGAGAGGAACTGTTNATGCCTGCCAATACTTCTTCATGGGTAACTTTGTACAGATTCCTAGTGTAAAAATGAACACTCATTTCCCTGGAAACCTCTTGGTTATTCATCTTCACAACCTCCTCCCTAGGACAAACAGCACTATCACTAATGGTTTGCCAAAAACCAACCAGAAATTCCAGTGTAAAACACTAGATAATAAGTGAAAAGTCTCTGCTGATTTTTCCCAGTGTAGTGCCATCCAAGGGGCATAACATAAAAAGGAACTTTAATTAGGAGAGAGAAGATAAGTCAAAGAGGAATTATAATTAAGAAACTTTAATCAGGAGAAGGATGATAGTTCAAAGAGAAACTGTAATTAGGAGAGTAGTGGTAATCAATAATAATAATAATAATTCAAGGTTCTTATATACCGCTTTATCACAACCTAGTTCGTAGGTCGTCTCAAAGCGGTTCACAAATTATTATCTGTGATTATAGGGCCTTTGCAACCAGCCAATACCTTTTCAACTCCCTGGGGAGCATACAGCCGGAGCTGCCATTTCGGCACTAACAGCTAGCATTCAACAATTCTAGCACTGTCCAACCACATTGCCATGCCGTGACTCCAACCCACAACCCTTCAGTCACAAACCTGGCGTCCTACCACTAGACTACTGTGCCTCCATAATTCAGAGATGGACTGTAACTAGGACAGAAGTGGTAATAAGAAATAATTTTTATTTAACATTTTTGCATGTAAATACAATGATACACACTGAATCAGCTGACAGGTACTGCAAATATAAATATCATTAAAAGTTAAATACAGACCTAGACGCCACTCTAGAATATGCTTATTAAGGTAACAGATTAACAGCACTTCTACATGTAATAACACAACAGTTACCAGCACCAAGTTAGAAATTATTTATATAACTACATTCTGACTGGTAAATGGTCATACACTGTACTACTGACTACAGTGGAGAATATCCAGGGAGTCTTATGTTTCCGGATGTCTAAAATCTTCACAAATATCAAGAACCTAAGAGACCCCGTCCCCTCTAAGATATAGAAAATTAACATGACAATATATTGACTACCACATGCATACTAGTGACTGCAGTGGAGGATATCCAGGGAGTTTTACATTTCCGGATGTCTAAAATCTCGATAAATATTAAGAACCAAAGATAAAACTCACAAGATAAAGAATACTTCCATAACTATAGCTATATATTGACTGGTAAATGGATACTAGTGACTGCACTGGAGGATTTCCATGGAGTTTCATGTTTCTTGAGGTCTTAGACTATTCATGAATGTTAAGAACACAGGGGCCAGATACATTGAGCTAATACTGGCCCACTCCAACAGTGTTAGAGGTTTAACATGGTGAGATACTTTAGACCACCACCATGTAAGTCAACACAATCATGTCTGGTAAAAAACCCAGCCGACAAGTGGCCTCTCATGTTATTGGAGTAAGGTAGGCCTTGAAGTTCTTTTGTCTGGGCTCGCCTGAATGTGATTTATTTTATAATGGAACAACTTTGGTCAGACCTGTCAAACTATTTTGACCACGATAAACGAAAGTGGCCCAAGTCCAAAGTTTTTCACTGTAAAATCAATGTTAAAGTGATCCCACTGTCTATGTGTCGAAAAGCAAGTATTTTGTATGGAACCCTGATTTTTCGTGTTGGTGCCAGTTTTGAATTCCCAGCATCAAGAAACTTAGGCTGGACTTTCTGATAGGGTCTTGTAATAACTAGTAGTTGTTATATTGTATATTCTGCAGTAGCCATTCGTAGAATTATCTACTGCTTGGGCTAAATTTAGAGTTTGTATGAGAAATAAAATCAAATCAAAGGGATCGCAGGAATATTTTTTTATGGCAGTCACCAGTGGGGTTTTTATAGAAAAAAGACTTTTGACAAAATTTACAAACAGAAATAAATAAAGAATAACTGCACAGAAAACAAAACATCATTATTGAGCTACAAATAAAAAGATACAATCTTTTTCATATCAACCATTTCACTGCTGTAGACCCTAATGGACTCATCCATATCAATGAATGGTAGAGTCTACTATAGTTACATAGGGGTGAAAGGGTTAAAGTATTTAAAATGCCTAAATTTCGACTTATAACAAAACAGAAACAATAGTAATTGCACTATTTTCCACCTTCAATGGTTAACAAAAGGTAGAGACATATTTGGATTTTTGCCTTTTGCCAGATTTGTAAAGGTAAATTTGAGTAAAATCTGCCACAAAGACGTTTCTCGTTATCTGGTTAAGATAAAAGATCTGATTCACTCTATTGACGACCATGATTTTATACATAGTTACTGTATACTGGAAATATTTTGCTGCAGTTTAACTATAATCTTTTTCTTCTCCGTATTGAAGGTAAATTAATTATGACAGCAAATATCAATACATGACATGCCATATATAGTCATTGCATGTGAAGGGGTTAGGGTTGTTGTATTTTATGTCCTATTAACAGCTATGGTTATTTAAGGATGTGCCAGGTTTTGGTGGTGGAGGAGAACCGGAATAATCGGAGAAAAACCACCAACCAGCGGCCAGTACCTGGCGATTGCTCTATGTAGGCCTTGAACCCGCAACCCAGTGGTGGAAAGCTAGTGATTATAGATGGTCCAACGCCTTAATAACAAGGGCAAATTAACACTAGGTAAAAAAGAAGTTTACCAGTCTAGGAAGGGGGTATTTGACTGGACAAAAAGCTCGCTGTATACAGCATAGAGTAGATTGTAATGCTAGTTCAAATATGTTACATTCCGAAAAATAAAATCTGGAATATCTAATTTTTCACATTAATGAAATAATAATTCAGTTCCCAAATACACGTCTGGAAAACAATTTTTTGGGATTATCATAATCTTAATAAATCAACATTATGGGTTTTCACTGTTTATAAACCTATACCATCACAGAAACTTCAATGAAACAATGCGTGCATTTTCACTCCGGTAGAATCACACGATATGTCAGGTTGATTCTTGGGTCCCTGTCATGGTATTCCCTTGGTATCCGATGCTGAAATAGACACAAAAGGTTTATTAGATATTTATAAACTTTAAGGCATCACCAGATGAATTAGAAGTGGCCAAAGGGGCCTGTTTTGCTCAACTGTTGTTTCCATGGTAGACAAAATAAAGTTTATGCTCAGCTGAAATGATAAAGACAAAGAGGCCAATACACATGCTCAGTCAATTCTTCACAAACCGTTTCTCTTCATACATCAACAATTTTGTATGCGTTGTTCACTCATGTCTTTCTCTTCAAGTATTAAAAATACTCAAATAAGGTTGTAAATCAATAATCAGTAATTGTACGCTCATCATTTTTGCACATGTACATCAGTTGATCTACTAAGGAGGCGGTCATAATGGTCACATTAAACAGGGTTATTGAAAGGTCCTATTTACGAGGCTATTTTCCCCTACATCAGTTGCTCTAGACATATTTTAATGAGCAGTATTTCAAATGATCTTGTTTTTTCCTACAGAGAAGGTTTTAATTTAAAGGTTATTCTGAGCAGGAAGTCTTCCTTCACAGAGGTCAATCTAGACTGGTTTTATTGAGCAGTCCTACTGATGAGGCATGTTTCTCATACAGGGGTCACTGTAGACAGGTATTAATGAGCAATATTACTCATGAAGAAGTCTTCCTATACAGGGGTCGCTTTAAACAGGTTTCAATGAGCAGTCATCCAAAACAGGTAGTCTTTTCCTTCACAGGTAATTCTACACAGGTTTTAATTATCAATCTTACAAATGAAACTGTCTTCCCCTACATGATTCACTGTAGACAGGTTTTTAATGAATGGTCTTACTAATGAGACTGTTTTCACCTTCATTGTTCTACACAGGTTTTAATGAGCAGTCCTACTAATTGGGCTGTCTGTTCCTACATTGGACGGTTCTATACAGGTTCCATCTTACCTGCCAGTCGTCCTGTACAGAGCCTTCCATGATGAGCAGTGAACCATGAGTGAGGGGAATCCGTACATGCTCGCTGTGAGAGTAATCATCCCCGGTTTCCTGTTACAATATTGTTATATAATAAAGAAATTTATTTGACAAATATTTACTGGCAAATCTATCCAAGAAAAATCACATTTTCTAAAGATAAAAGATATCAATTCAAGATCTTGAGAAGTTCAAGAGTATTTCACTTAAAACCTTTAAAACCTAAATTCTGTGTTCACATTATTAAAGATAAGACTTTTCAAGTGTTATTATGGTAATAAATATAAACTGTACTAAATTGTAGAATGAAAAGAAGAAAGTTATAATCTGAGTAAGCTTAAATATCGGTCAACAATATTATTGAACCTAAAATCAGGGTTAGACACTAACTTCTTTCGCTCGGTAGTCCACAGAACTAGTTGAATAGATTTTTTGCTAGTCCTACGTCAATGTAACTATCTGAAGATTTCTTTCAGGAAAATCTCAAGCAAGAAACATAAAAAGTAATTGACTGTAGGGACATAAAATAACTACTGCTATAAAGACTTGGTTAAGTTTTAGGAAATTTTTGTCAATCATCATTCAATACATCTGTATTTTAAGCACTTTTCCAAAAAGAATATTCTTATTTTGTGATCTATCAAATTACATTGGGATACCATTATTTTTAACAAGTCCAATTAAAGAACCAGTTAGGTTAGGTGATCCACCATATAGAGCTAGTCTTTGCTGAAATTTACTAGTCACAGACTAGAGGACTAGTGTAAGTATTGAACCCAGAAAACGCCTCAAAAACTACTAAAGAAATATATATAGACTTACAGGCTTTTTTCGTAACTCAAAGTTGCGAGTGTCTCCAAATGAGAGTGAAGCTATGGTGGGCTGGGGCCCAAGTGAGCGCTCGTCATCGCAGTGCCAAGGAACATGTTCGTGCCCATCTCGGTACAGATTAGTCAACACAGAGTTAAATTGGAGACCTAACACTGATTCCAGTCGTTCCCTCAGCATATGCAAAGTGGGGTCCCACTGAAAAACAAAAACTTGTGTAAACAAGAAAGTAAAGAAGCCCATTTGGCCGGCATATGACATTTTTCGCTAAATTAAAAAAATTGTGTTTTTTACTTTTGATTTTATACATGAATAGCCAAAGTTAAACTGCTATAGGTATAACATTTTATTAAGTTAAGAGTGCAGAAACCTTCAATGAATCTTGAAAGTAATCATACATGTATATAAGAACATGCCCAAAATAAAAAATTCTGAGAAACATATCTTTGAAAAATGATATACACTGAAACTTGTCTGACACCCAGGACCCTGTTGAATCCAAATAATTGCCTATATATGACAGGGTGTCATAATACAGAGGTTTCACTCAGTAGATTTAAAAAGAAATGGGATTACAGCTGTAATCAGAACATTACATGATGTCAGAAAGCGCATTGGTCAGATAAGAGGATGTCAGTATATTCAGAGGTTGGATTTGACACGATGTCCAAGCACTTGAATAACTAGTATAGTGGTTTCCACCTCGTTGGATACCCACTGATGAGTGAGTACCGAATCTAAATCAACTTGGGTATCCAACGATGTGATTCCATCGACCAATTACTGAAAAATGCTTTAATTTTGTGGTGTAAAATTTTCACATTTTCATACCTGGAACTTATTCTTGGGGTCTTAAAATTGCGCTACACCGATTCCAAAACAAAGGTAAATTTGCATTCCACCGGTTCCTGTGAACATCTACCTACGTACCAGTATCAGGTGCCATCGAGCACAGGTAAAATGTCACGGTTCATGCATGTTGGGTCAGTGACTTTGTCAAATCTGCCATGCATAGTCAAGTTACTTGAGCTAGTTCAGCGTGTCAGCATGTACATAGTCCATCTGGTCATTCACGTTAGACATTTGTGTCGTAATTAAAAAGTGGGAATTGAATATGAAAAATAAAACCATGTGTATTTTATGTGTGAACTAAATATGTAAAAAAACTAAATCATGTGTATATACACAATAGTAAGTATGAGCGCCTCGATATACGTACATTCATGATACTGATAGTAACTAATGGCAGACCTATAATTAAAATATTTGCTTGGGTTTTGAATTCACGCTTTGAAAGAAAATTGCAAATACAGCAAATTATAATTCCCCTGCGAAAATAAAAGCACTTTACAGTAGCTAAGATACTATCAAGATGGTCGACAAATGACGGGGACAATCAAGGGCTACTTTAATTTCTAGTACCATCTCACCCAAATGTCATAACTTGGACACGGAAACAGGACACTACGTACATTATACTGACAGCAAGTAAAGAAGTCTGTACCCAACCATTTAAAGCTAAATATCAGGCAAGGGCCAATAAGTACCAATTCTAAGGACTTGCAGTTTATATCAGCCAAGGGACAGAACCTGTAGCCTTACTTGCTTGGATGAACACCCAACACCAAGGACAACAGTGAGGTATTGCCACGTTAGGCATTAGGAAACACGAAGTAGTCAAGGAAAAAGAACAGATATTTCCCAAATATTGCAATGGGTGCAAAAGATTTAGTTTGGTTGTTTTTTGTCTTTTGTTTTGAAAAAAAAATATCACTGTTACATGTAGTTGCATTTTACCAATCATGCATAGAGTAACAGCAGGTATATTTTGCAACCTGCAGGTGTGACCAAGGATGGCTGTATCACAGGTATAATATTGTTTACCTCTAAAGTGGCCTCGTGTGTGACTCCAGAGTACGAGTATGATAGATCTCCATACCATGTCGTCAGCCTCGGCTGCAAGTAGGAGACACCATCCTTCATATCGGATCTCTGTCGCCATGGTAAATCGTGGAATAGGCGGTCATACAACTCATTGGCTTCTTGTGACCCAATAAACTCCGGGAAATACCTCAACCTATGAATAAATCATTGAAACTTGGTTAGGAGTTTAAAATGTGACCAGTCTTTTTCTGATAGCTATCTACATCCCAAGTAAGGGTACCTACACAAACAAATTATGATATTAGTTTTTAAAATTTTGTTAAAGCTACACTATGTAACCATGGCTATATACAGCATTTTAGAAAACTAATTGATAATGCTATTCTCTTTGAAATTTTCACTTTGTCAAAGATGAGTACAGAGGGACAAAGGGATGTAACTTCACTCTGCTAAATTTTGTTACACCAATAGAAAGTGTTAAAAAAAATATTTGAATAGAATTTGGATGTAGTTTACACAGTTAAACACAATAGTTTTTATTTCTGACAAAAGACCTTGACCTTTAATTGTCAACAGCATTTATAACTTTTGATGCAAAAAAATACATAGGTATTTACCTTGAAACTCCTGAAGGCTCTGTACTGATGTCATAGACACCTGTTTTTCTGGAGAGAAAAATATTCCTTATTACAGAACAGTTTTAAACCTGTCTAATCTGTAACAGGTACCATGTAGGACAAAATATATTGGACAAATTAACCTGTCTAATCTGACACCTATGGGATACATATCCGCGCACGAGTGAATATATACGTCTGCGCAATAAATGAGTGCTTTATGATTCGTTAGAAACACACAAGTGTGAGGTCTTGCTTTTATCACATACCTTCCATATTTGGTAGAGATAGATACAAAGATTTTATAAACTTTGTTGTTTTTTGCAAATACCGGGAAATTTTCAGTTCGCCATGACAAGGGGATTCCTAGTAGTAGGTAAATACAACATTCCGTATTGCACGTGTGCAGTACAGAACGTTGTATTTCATGGTCTGAAAATTGCTTGTATTACTATAACAAGATTCAACAGGTATGTGATAAAACATGTTATTCTGATTTACCTGTCTAATCTGCTGACAACCTGTGGGACATAACATAACTAATCTGATATCCTGTTGAATACAACATACTGATCAAATTAAACTGTCTAATCTGACACATATGGGTTACAGCATATTATTCGTATTACCTGTCCAATCTGACAACCTTTGGAACACACCATATTGGTCTGGTTAACCTGTCTAATCTGACATCCTCTTGAATACAACATACTGATAAAATGAACCTGTCTAATCTGACACATATGGGATACAACATATTGTTTAGATAAGGATATCAGAACACAGGACTTATTTGGCAGAATGCAACTCTATAATTGTTGGATAAGACATGTCATATTAATCAGGTGGCAGATAAGACAGGTTTTACCGTAATATGTAAAATATGCATTTACAAAATGAACTTGAAACAAACAGATCACTTATAGCTTACATCAAACATGTCATTTATTTTGCATTACCTTGTGATTAAAGCAAGAAAACAGTATTTTAACCTCAACTTTTAATTAAAAACACATTCTTGCCAAGTTAAATCTAATTAGTGTTTGTTTTGATAAAACATTGTTTTAAACATATTTTATTGCCTTTTTTACATAGCAATGGAATTGGGCACAAAAACATTCTTGCTACTGCATACTGTGACTAATTGACATCATCGTAAAATAAAACATTCGAATGAAAAGCTGGCAGCACTAATTGGAAGAGATATTTGTTATTTACTTGTTATACTTTCAATAACTTATGGTTTTACTCACGTGATAACTAGTTCTGCAGGTCTCTCTTTAAGCTCCTGGAAAAACAATGCAGAAATCCTTTGAAAGTGACAAATATTTAACATAATGTCAATTATATGATTAAATAGCTTTTGGATTTAGCTACGAACTGGTCCTATGAGCCTATTAGCCTTGTTGTCTTATCAATTGTACATAATTCATTGTATTCATCGGTAATAAATATTATAGGAACTATCCATTGGTGTCCTCTTATATATATATATCAACCAAACAACAGAACTTTACCCATCAAACCCAGGTTGAAGGTAGCTATAGGCGATGCAGGACTTGAGCACCTGAGTCTGTGGGGACTGTGCATAAAAGTCATATAAATAACATATCATCTGATGCCACTTACTTTAGTAAGTATTTTCAAAGATTTTTTCTGGCGACACTTTGTTAACTGTACAGGTTAATACACACATGTGCCATGCCGCTGATCGTAATATTCAATTCATCATAACTCGGTCGATTTTTCAAATATCAAATTGAAATTTGGTATAGAGTTGTGTTATAGTCATATAAACAACATATCTTCTGATGTCGCTTACTTTATTCAATATTTTTAATGTTTTTGTCTGGTGAAGGATGTTGTCACTTAAAGACGCTTGTTGTTGGTCGAAGATGCTTTTAAGGAGGACCGTTTAAATGTGTTAACCCTAAAATACCAAAACAACCCAGGTTCTAACTCCCTGTCATCAGAGGGAGGGTAACCGACACCATTTGAAACAGGAAAAAGCGTAGTGTGCTTCAAACCCGCGACCCTGAGCTTCCCAGTTAACTGCTCCATCAATGGAGCTAGGGGGTACTTTTTAGGTACATTTGAGGCATATTTGATATAAAAATCAGCCAGAGATGTGTAGGGTCTACCCTTAAAATACCTTTAAAATTTGTCTGAAAATGTACCCGTTATATAACCCTCATATTTTGTCCCTTAATCTACCGAAAAAAGTACCTATTAGATAGGGTCATCACAATTAGTTTTCCAGGGGCGAAGTAAATGCAAGAGAGGCAGACATACCGGAGGGTTTGTGGTTTGTGATTAATTGAATGGAGTGTTGTTTACAAAAAGACAAACGTCAACGTTAACCTACTTCATCAGGTTCTTCAAAAACAAATTTCTTTTCCGTGGGCTGATCGACTGTTTTACCCGTCCATGCCGGGCTTACACCTGCTTTAGGTTTGTTTCTGTCTGATCTCACATTCGTTGGAGCAGCCCAGCCTCCCTGAACTCGACTTCTTTTCTTTCTTTCAGGATTCATTTTTGTTGATTTTCCCACCGGATGTATCTAAGGGCGCTGCCATTGAGCGGAGTTATGGGAAATATTATATTTTTGTTTCGGATGTTTTCCTATGAGTGGAAAGTAAATACCAAAAGCATTCCGAAAAGCTATTTAATCTTGGTCGTGTTTACGCTTCATATTGTCTACATTTATTTGACTGACGGAACGATTCTGCACAAACGTGAAGGGTCGATCGTGGACACATCGGATGTATTCTAGACTAAATGTTAATATATTTACACGTAAATCGTATTTGTGTGTATTCACATTCGATTAGGTGTCAGCAGATAGTGTCTGTGTCATAAATCAAGTCGTTTTATATCTCCATCATTTTTCTTCCTCCCCCTCAATGTTTCTTTTACCTGTTTACTGTAGCTGTCATCCTCTAATCGTCTGCTACAACTGTATTTTACCTACTATATAGACGGGTTTTGCCCGTCGGTTAATAGTTGATCATGAACAACTTGCAGAAATAATTGGTTTATTGATTTTAGAGTACATATTTAACATTTTTTAATGAAACGATATTCTTCNTTGTTGATAAATGATTAAATCTTGTTGTATCAACTCAGATTTAACTTATATATATTCTTCATAACATGACCAAGGTTTAACAAAGCGTAGCTGAATTGAGTCATTTCGGTACATATATAACAACTATTGTACATACGTTTCCAGCGTAGCCGAAATCGACATCGATTTTATGGACAACTCGTACACATTTAACACCTTTGTGCATACGCTTCACTGGTCATTTGACTGATGAAGGTGACAGTGGACATATCGTACTAGTCATCGAAATGTCGCATAGAAAATTTTATTGGTTGTGTAAAAAGAACTTCTCATAATCCATACTTCACAACCTGAAGAAAATGTTTAGAAATAACCAATATTCTTATATACATTGCAGATGACAAACCATTAAATGGGGTCTGAACAGAGTACACAGCCTCCAGCTGGAGCCCCGGGTAGCAGTATAAAGTCACAGAGAGATGAGGATATTCCTTATACATCCTTTTCCATCAGTAAACCAATAGATGGGGGTATGTAATGATATGTATGATACAGTTGTCCATCCCCAGGTAGCTATATAATAATAGATCATCTAGAGTACTCTTTACTGTAACTAATTTATATAACGTCACTGTACCCAAATCGGGACACTTTTGGGAAAATGGCCCAGGAAACTGTCATGCAATGCAAAGAAATACTTTTATNCTGTATACAGTTTTCATTTGATAATACTTTTATGACAATGTTACTGTATGTAAGCTTTATTGGCTGCTGATTATCGGCGTTACAAGAATAATTACCAAAACAAAGCTTTTCTGATTTACGGCACGTGCAACACTATTTATTTAGATATCATTTTCAAAAGTCTATTGCAAAACTATAATGCTAGTTTGGAGAAGAATTCTAATCCGAACCCTCGTTGACTCTAAAATATTTCAACTATGCATATTTTTCTGTTGATATTGATTGTTTATCCCCAAATATTCGCCCAAATATATATATATATACATATATACCGAAGTGTCCCTTTCTCTAAATATGAATTTGTAATAGAAATGAAAAGTGGATATCTATTTATGAAAAATGAACAAACATTTTTGGAACTGATAGTATGGTATAAATAAAGAACATTGATAGTTATCTTAAAAGTGTCCCGATTAAGGTAATGATGTAAGTTAAATGTTAGTGAGAAAATATATATTTTGTGTAGAACGTATCTACACTGTTATCAGGATCACGTTCCAGGTATTGTGTTATCATCCTGAATATTAGTCCAAAATAAATCTCTCCTTTTCAATTTATTTTATGGAGTGGAGATAGTCAGGGTGTCTTTGAAAAAAATGTGCACTGGGTTTGGCGCGCATTTCAGTTAATGTTTTCTTGTATGCTAAATTATGTTCACATACTTTCTGTACATGAATGGAAAGGTAATTGATTTATAAATCTCTACCACTGCCACAATAAAATGATTGATTTTCAGATTTGACATTTCATGCGTTTTGGTGAATTTTTCCATGAACTCCTGTGTCTTAATTGAATTTGTTCATTGCAAATCAATGGCAAAGTGAAAATAAAATTAAAAACCATTTGAAAATAATCTTGGAAACACATATTCATAATTACCAATGAATTTACCAATGTCATCATTGTTGATTTTGTACTTTAAATTAACAAAAAGCATGTCTTTGTAGAGCCAACGCGACATTCTCCCCGGAACGTAGGTGGCCGACCACGCTCGTCGACGAAAGATGGCAAAGAGGACACTCCAAAACATAACATTGTGGTGGTTGCCGATGGTAATGTGTCACCAAAAGACAAAGACCCCGAACTAACCAAACTTGATGCTATTCCTGTGTTTTATCCGATAATGCGAGGGTCACTCAACATACCAACCAGCTCGAGAGACCCTGACATTCTTGACAAACTTGACCACCAGCAAATCCTGCTATTGTGTATTCGCTACCAAGAACACCTGCGACAGTTGTCAGAAGCCGTCGCTTTTGATCAGAACGCTCTTTGTGTACGCATCAAAGAGGTGAGTTACCCATGCGAATTGTAAGAAACATATGATGCCTGTTTCTAGGTCTTTTGATGTGTCATGGTGAATTATGCCAAGAATTCATCAGTTATAATGGCCGGCATTTATCCTTTGCAAATCAATAATAAGTGAAAATGGTTTAAAAACACAATAGGAAAAGTTTTGGTCACAAATATGTTTGAGAATGATGAACATAACCTCTGTATCAACATATTTTTAAAATTTAATGTAAATAATGCTTTGAATGAAAATATTCCTATTAAATTATGCATCTAGCTGCTGGTTTTGGTGTAAAACTACTTTTTTTGAATCTCTCAAATTTTGTTTTAGACAGTGCTGGTTGTTAGATGATCATGAGAGTAAAATTTTTAAGCTTCTGTAAAATTTGTGAGATTATTTTCTATAACTCAGGAATATAATAAGAAGCTGTAAAAGTTCAAATCATTTTGATACCACCCCTGTATGTTGTTTAACATTTTTGAGATAACCCCTTGTGTTACTTTCATTGCAGATTGACTGTGCCATAAATATGCTTCTAAAGTTGATGACGGATAGACAGAAGAAATACCATAAGTATGCTGAACAGTTTACAAGATCCTCAGAGACACTGACTGTTCTAAATAGGGTCAAGGACTCTATGGACAATATCATTCCTAAGATGGAACGACTGAACCAACTCCTGCCAGCGGGGGATCAACTGGAGCCTTTTAGTATATACATGAATACTCCAACCACAACAGCATCCAACAAATAGATAATATTTCACTAGAACACTTCTTGAGTTGATGACACCATACATGTTTAGAAACAATGCTAGCATTTCTATTTTCATTGGCTCAGAGCTTTTTGTTGTATATTTTGTAAATTTTCAAGATTTTGTCCCCCTTGTGACATGGTAGTCTAGTGGTAGGACGCTGGGCTCGTAACCAAAGGGTAGCAGGTTCGAGTCACATCACGGCACTGTGTTGTATCTTTGAGCAAGATGCTTTACCCTGCTTGTTCCAGTTTACTCAGCTGTATGTGGTTTGACAGTGCTAGAATTGTTGAATGCTAGCTGTGACCGCCGAAATGGCAGTACCGGCTGTATGCTTCCCGGGGAGTTGAGAAAGGTATTGGCTGGTTGCAAAGGCCCTATAACCTTGGATAATAATTTGTGAACCACTTTGAGACAACCTACAAACTAGGTTGTGATAAAGCTTTATGTAAGAACCTGAATTTATTATTATTATTAGAAGCGTCTTCGAAATCGAAGCTTCTTCTCTTGATACATTATCCTCTCTACACCCTGGGAATATGTTGCTCTGTACACACCACCTTACAAATGATAAAAGCAGTAGTTTGGTACTTTGATAAATTTCAAAAGAATTGTGCAGCAGCATAATGGTAAAACTGACCAGCTTTGAAGTCTGTTGTCGCTCCTCAGTAATCTTGAAAGGACAGGTATCAAATAACAAACTGCATAAAAACAATGTCATTTTAACTTTTTTCAATGGTGCAGGGAAGATTAGTGTAATGAAATGAGAGTAGTGCCCCTGGATTTTGAAGGTATAAGACAAGGCTTCAAAAGTTGGGGTACCACCAACTGTTTCAGGGGCAAAACCCCTCATTTGGAGCTTTGGGGGAACATTAACTAGGTACTGAAAAGTCATCTATATATCATGCTCTCATTTTTATCCTTGTTTATTTTTTATGCATAGATGCATTTTCCCAAAGCAACATTTGTGACATTGCAACATCTTTTCCTTTTTAAGGGGTGTTATGTGTGACTTTAAACCTATGACCTTATTTGGCCAATATCTATCCATCCCATCATGAATATAAAAATCATGTGTACAAAGAATGGACCATATTTGACATAGAAACTAGCAATATTTTTGAAATTTATTTGTCCAAAAAAAGGTCTGCGATATTGATTTTTTTTTAGATAACTGAAACAGGAATTGTCACTGAATTCATACATCTTAGTTCTATCACATGTCATGTTACCAGTCATTTTGTCATGAATACATCCCGTAATATTTTGTCGCATAATACTTTACAATGCCATGTGTAGTATGATGTTGTTTTCTGTTAATGTAAATAATATATTATTGTAATTAATATGAATTATTTATAAAAGAATCAAATGCTTATTTGGACATTAACTTGAAAGCTTTAGTTTAGTTTAGTTTGCTACAAAAAGTATTTTTGACCACAACAAATAATTAAACCCATTCTACAAATATATCACTGTAAGTATGCCGTCTGTAGGGTATTGGTTATATTGATGTATGTTCTCTTCTGCTGATAGACTAATGTGATCATGAGACTCTAAACCTGTTCCATTAATATTAGTGTAGCTTTTCCCCTGAGGAAACTCTGTTGAAAATTTCCTACATTTGTTATTGATGTTAAGGTTATACAGGATGATGATTTTAAACATTGTTAAAAGCAGGTATAACAAACAAAAAATTGGTTAAAAAAAGGTACAACTATGTTAGCAGGCTTCAACATTAATTGATTAAGAAATGTTTTAATCGTATTGAGTATGAAATTTGTCTGATAATTCATTATACATGTCACCACTGTGAGTTTCATCAATCAATACCCGTAAAAATCATTCCTGAGTGAAAACTTTGTATTTTCTGTCTACGTGTATCAGTGATTACATAGAGGTTCCCCAACGAGTGATGGTTGGTTATCCTGTTTATCTAACTTGAGTTAGTTAATTTTCAAATTGTTTAAAGATACAAGGTTTACCGAATGTCTTTTACAATTTGAAAATTAACTAACAAGAGTTAGATAAACATGATAACCAACCATCACGAGTTTGGGGTCCTTTTTCTCCCATAACATTCATATTTTATCTGGAAAGCCATATGTATCCCTTGAAAATACACTTTGTCGGCTTCTGATGGGGCGAAACAATTGCCGTGAATCATGACGTCACAATGGAAGATGACGTTGCAAAGCATTGTTACGTGAAGTCATAAGTAAAAAATTGACCAATGAAATCACGTCGAGGGTGTTACCCACTAGTGGGTAACCAAAAATGTTTACCACCTCCTAGCAGGTTTATCCAAAGAATCAGGAGTGAGGAAACCTATAGTGGGTATGGGAGAAATTTTGATTATAAATGTTATGGTAAAACAATGTTGTGTGTTGCCAAATGTTAAATAATTGTTAGGGTTATTGTATGTGAAAAAAGAATATGTTTTCCACAAAGAGTACCCTACAAACGTGCTCAGTTATAATTAACTTAAATTCAAGTTGGTGAAGTTGACAATGATGAATAAAGTATGTACTTTGAACAGGAAATTTTTCACTTTCATTTTTAGCTCACCTGACTCAAAGGGCAATGTGAGCTTATGCCATACTGCGGCATCCCAACGTCTGTTCGTTCCATCTCTCAACTTTTTCTTTTGAACGACTTCTTCTGAAGAACTGGAGGACCGACCTAGGGTTATGATATTTGGCCAGTAGCTACCTGGGATGGAATTTTATAATATATTTCATCATTAAAATGACCTTGACGTACTTTCAAGGTCACAGGGGTCAAATATGTTAAAAATTTCAAACAAAAATATCCTAAGGACCATTGGGACTAGAGTCATGATACTTGGGTATGTTATGTAGACCAATGAGCATTTTCACAAAAAATCTTATGATTTGTCATAAGATTGTGAGTTACGATTATCATAAGAGAACTCTTAACTCAGTTTCACGAAAGTAGTCGTAAGTTAAAAAATATGCGTAAGACCATTTTGTAAGATTTTTATTTACGAGCGCACTTACTATTTGACTTACGAGAAAAATTCTCCCTAACAACGGCATTTACTTAGTTTGCGCAAGCGTTACACATGCTTCTGGTTAACATAAACGTGAAGAGCAAAGCATTTTCTTCTGGTAAAGGGATTTACAGTTAGAGGGAGTACAACAGGCGTGCATCCACGATCTTATGAAGAAGGTCAAGAAGCTAGAGAAATACAAGTAAATAAAGATACAAAATCATGTATTTTCTATATATTTTAGGCAAAGGCAGATCCTTTAATTTTTGAAAATATCATTAAATCAACGGACGGAAGGTAACCGTTGAAAGCGGAAGCCTCTTTTGGGATACATGTACATCTGGTTCAGTTTTATAATGTAATATGGCTTATTAATTGAATTAAATGTGATGCATATCTCTATTTCGAACACACACTCTCTCTCTCTTTTTAATATAACTTTTTTTTTCAAGCAGTTCCATTGACCAAATTCCAATATGATTAAATATAACTGCAGAGCGTAGCGAGGCAATTTGTTCTTTTATTAAACAAAACTTTGACACCCCTAAAAACCGTTTAAACCCTTAAAATCATTTATAATACAATTAAAAATATATATATAAAAAAGTTGTAAAGAAAAACGGAACTGAGTTTGATTTATAGTGTCTTTAAATTTAATCTTATTTTTAAAATAATAATAATAATATACAACATTTATATAGCGCCCTATATAATTTGTAAAATTACTCTAAAGCGCTTTACAACATATGGAGAATAGTAATGGTTATAATTGTGAAAACAGTTCAATCGGCCCAGCAAAACTTGACTAAGTTTGAAAAAGTTTTTCAAAATGGCGGCCGTGTCGGCCATATTGGATTTCTGATCGACCCGAAAAATAACAACCTGGGGGCTGAGGGGCGGGGCCCAATAGGGGAAATATAGCAAATTCTTTAAAATCCTTCTTCTTCTGTAGGAATAAAAGGATTTGGTCCATATTTGGTCTGAAGCATTCTTGGGTGAAGGGGAACCAATTTTGTATAAACTGTGTGGTGGCCCCCCTGGGGGCTGAGGGGCGTTGCCCAATAGGGGAAATATAACAAATTCTTTAAAATCCTTCTTCTTCTGTAGGAACGAAAGGATTTGTTCCATATTTGGCATGAAGCATCCTTGGGTGAAGGGGAACCATTTTGTATAAACGGTGGGTCTGGCCCCCATGGGCCTGAGGGGTAGGGCCCAATAGGGGAAACATAGTAAATTCTTTAAAATCAAGTTCTTCTTCTGTAGGAATGAAAGGATTTGGTCCATATTTGGTCTGAAGCATTCTTGGGTGAAGGGGAACCAATTTTGTATAAACGGTGTGTCTGGCCCCCTGGGGGCTGAGGGGCGTGGCCCAATAGGGGAAATATAACAAATTCTTTAAAATCCTTCTTCTTCTGTAGGAATGAAAGGATTTGTTCCATATTTGGTCTGAAGCATCCTTGGGTAAAGGGGAACCTATTTTGTATTATCTGTGGGTCTGGCCCCCCAAGGGGCCTAAGGGGCAGGGCCCAATAGGGGAAACATAGCAAATTATTCTTTAAAATCCTTTTTCTTCTGTAGGAATGAAAGGATTTAGTCCATATTTGATGTGGAGCATCCTAGGGTAAAGGGGAACACATTTTGTATAAACGGTGGGTCTTACCCCCCTGGGGGCTGAGGGGTGGGGCCCAATAGGGGAAATAGAGGTAAAACCTTTATAATCCTTAGGGAATAAGGGATTTTATCCGAATTTAGTCGGGAGTATCCTTAGGCAAAAGGGACTCAATTTCATATAAACAGCGAGTGTTCCCCCCCCCCTCCTTGGGGGCAGAAGGGAGGATGGGCCCAATAGGGGAAACATAGCAAATTCTTAAAAATCCTTCATCTTCTGTAGTAATGACAGGATTTGGTCCATATTTGGTGTGGAGCATCCTTGGATGAAGGGGAACCAATTTTGTATAAACGGTGGGTGTAGCCTCCCTGGGACCTGAGGGATGGGGCCCAATAGGGGAAATAGAGGTAAAACCTTTAAAATCGTTCTTCTACCATAGTGGTTAAGGGATTTTATCCTAATTTAGTCTGGAGCATCCTTGGGCCAAGGGGGACTCAATTTTGTATAAGCAGTGGGTGTGGACTCCAAGGGCGGGGCCCAATAGGGGAAATAGAGGTAAAACCTTTAAAATCGTTCTTCTACCATAGTGGTTAAGGGATTTTATCCTAATTTAGTCTGGAGCATCCTTGGGTCAAGGGGACTCAATTTTGTATAAGCGGTGGGTATGACCCCCTAGGGGCATAGGGGTGGGGCTCTGTTTGAAGTTTGTTCTCGCTATATCTCAAGTACTGGATGGATCTTTCTGAAATTTCATATGTACTTACAGCACTTGCCACGGAGTGCTATATCTTTACTTCATACCAATTATTTTAAACATATTCAGGTGAGCGATACAGGCCCTCTGGGCCTCTTGTTATTATAATGGTTTCATTTAAGTCCAACGATGTATGCTTTTCTTTTCAGACTTCATAAGAACCTTTCTTTGTGAAAAAGGGTATCAAATTGTAAATTTGGGGTCCTGCCACTACCCCGGGGGTTAGGATATATAGGGTTTGAAAGGGAAAATTGACCAATATTTCAAAAATCTTCTTCAGAATCAGGTGAACTGTTCAATCAAAATTGTCCCATAGTCATCAGGTCATCCTTTGGGAGGGGGTATAGTTTGCTATAGTTTATATAGGGAAATGATGTTTTAGGCATATTTTGTTTTTAACTCTACAGTAAATAATTCAAATTTGCTTGAAATGATAATGAGATATCAATTTGACGCTATCAGAAAGTAAGATCCTGACTCACCCCTTGGTCTTGATGGGCAGGGCCCATTGGAATATTGGCTTACATTTTAAAAGTCTTCTTCTCTAGACTCATATTTACTAGAATCCAATACTAGTACTCTTGATGGATGGAAATGTCCATGCATGCTTTATCTAAATTATAAAGTTTATTACCCAAGGGTCATATGTTGACCCTTTGGAAACGGGTAGATTATATATATATAGATTATGTATAATAGGTAAAAACACTTTGGGTATATTTTGTCCAATTTCTATCATGTAATATTATTAGCCTTCTGGTATTGTAAAATGACGGTTAAAGTCCATTTGAAAATAATCATACATTGTAATTTATTCCTATCTAATATAGCATTATTAAACCCTCGACTTTAATTAATTCTGTGATTTTACCTGTACCAACAAGACACATCTTTTTTATAAATTAACAATTAGATATAGATCTTACATGTTACATTATTCGTTTTCTTGTATTGTACAATGACAGTTAAAATTCATTTTGAAATATTCATACATTGTTATCAATTCCTCCCTAAACTATATTAACTTTACCTGTCACAACAAGACACAAATTCGAATATATAATATCTTATTATTGCAAACTTCCAGATAAAGCTTTTAAACACGCTTTTTTTCTGGGACTGGTGTTAACGAAATGTTCAAATACACCCTGGTTTATGTCAAGCACATTTAAACATTACAATTTATTAAAATGAATTCTGCAATTTTCTGCAAACTTAGGCAGGTGTGAAGATTTGATTGTATCTAAAGTTTAATTATATCTCAACATGTTTCTCCACGTAATTCTGGTTCAGCATCGAGTGACAATTTAACAATTGTATCTTTTGCAAATGATTTGTCAACATTTCATTCTCATAGTATGATAAATTTCATGTGTTTATGATATTTGTGTATATGCTGTCAACCTTTTTTTAGCTCACATGGCCCGTATGGGCAGAGGGATGGGGCCGAACAGGGGAAATAGAGGAAACAATTTAATTTTGTACAAATTCAAGGATATTAACCAAGTATGTTCTGGAGCATCTTTGGACAAAGGGGACTCAAGTTTGCATAAACGTAGGGTGTTGATGTTGTTTTTTTGTTTTTTTTTACTTATGACAAACAAGTGGCAATATGAAATTCTACAAACCTTCTTTCATTACTTCTTTCATTAGTGCCTTATAGTAATCACAGTGTCTGTCTGTCTGTCTTTCAGCACTTTTATTTCCGGAAAGTTGGTTGAAAGCCTTGGACCCTCTCATGCGGACCCGATGAAAAATATGATGTTGGGCAGCGATTTGGAAGTTTATATTTGTTCAGGACTGAGTCTTTGTTGCGTATCATGTAAATTGACATCATCTCAGCTGCATTACTCAGTTTATTCAAGTTACCGACAATTAGGCTAATTATCGAAACTAAGAAAAAGCCATGTATTTCAATGTTAATCTTTGTTACACACACACATTTGGAGCTGTTCGTATCAGTACGACTTGTGTGACATAAACATACAAAAGTTTACATTTAAACACTTAGATCACTTGTAAATTAGTAAAATGTTTAAAGGTGACGAAACTGCCTGCACCTTTGAGCAAAACTACGGAAGGCCTGATGACGTCACAAATGTTGCTGCGTGATGTCATTCAGGCGTATTTTCGGTCAAATCTTCTTCTGTATTGCATTGGTGCTCGTCGGCATTTTGATACATGCGTTTTTGAACGAATAATTGACCGAAACCCTTACTAATGTGACGAATTTGCCTGTACTAACGTTACATGTACTAAGTATATGATACTGAGATTTCCTGATTGAGGAATAGTTCGTGTGTGATTTTCAAAATATACTGATCGGATTTAAACATCAAGAACGGTCAAACCAAACATACTTACTATTCATCTATAAATAAATGCAATTAAATTTGTCGTTGTGTGCTTAAAACTTACACGGCCCCTTATGGAACATCTAGGCCTATATTGTTTTGTTAGAAATAGGGCATGGCTTATAGGTGCGGTGGTTAAATCTGCCTTGAAAAACCTGTTCACGATACATCGCTCTTGAATTCGTTATCAAACCAATTGTATAGCTGCCTTGTTATTTAAAATTACGATTAAAATCAATATATTTATTTACACTTACGATAAATTTTGCACTTAAGAGAGGGGTAAAGCTATCGTAAAGTTACTATAAATTTTTCACTTAAAAATCTCCTAAGAATTTTTGTGAAACGGAACAAAATCGTAAGTTTTCTCTTACGAGTAAAATGCTCACTGGACAAGAGTGCTATTAAGTTTCCTCATTAAATTGACATTGACATAGTATCAAGGTCACAGGGGTAAAATATGTTAAAAACTCCAAACAACAATATCTTAAGAACCATTTGGTCTTGTCATGATACTTGGGCATGTTATGTAGAACAGCTGTGTTAATCGCTTTCTTTATTACTGTAATGAGGTCAAACGTCACCTTTAAGTGCCTATCGGAGTCAAAGGTCAACGTGGGTTAAAACCTTTATAATTAAAATTTCTAACAACAATATATTAAGAACCGTTTAGGAGATGTTAAAATGTCTTGTGTTCTAGTTATTTGGTCTTGAATGAGAGAGTTAATCAAACGTCATCTACTTTTTAGAACTGTTAAAATATACTGAAGAAATTTGTTTTAAAAAGTGCCCGAGGGCTAAAAATTTCAAGGACAGATTTTAAATACAGCATCTCTTTGAAGAGTGAAAATAGGAAAGGAGACATTTTGATTGTATAAGCTCAAAAATCGTTTTTTTAGTATTAAGTTTTAGGTATCAACTCTTTGGAATGGATGTTCAACAACAATCTTGACCAACATTGAAGGTCACAGATGTGAGGTGTGTTAATTTAACAAAACCATACAAAAACAGCTAAGTGATACAGCCCCATTGGGCCTTTTGTTAATATAAGTTTTGAAGTTGAACATATCTGAGTTCCATTTTGATGACAGTTGAAATGATTGATGTTTTGGTATGTGAGTAACACTGGGTTTGACCAGGGAATGGGACCCAAGACTCCGATCCCCTAACACTACAGATGCTTTTATCAACAGATTTATAGACAGTAATGCAACACAAGTACTATAAAACAGGTATATTTTATTGTGCCCTAAGTAGTCTTTTGCATCAGGATGACGACCGTAGTGGCATACCCAGCATGGCATCATTGTCTTGGTCATTGTGGTAATGTTTCCAAGTTCTGTAACAATAAAATTGTAATTTTGTATTAGTGTAACATTGGGAAAATGTGGAAAAATCAATAACTGCGACATAAAATTCATAACTTTGAAAATAATGACCAAAGTGATTTTGCTTCCTTTACCTTTAATCTCTGAAGCCTTAAATTCTTCCTATCTTGACCTTAAATTTAGTACCAAGGCTAAACATATTCCTTACTACCTTGAAACTGTGTGTCTGTAGCCAATAATTCTACCTCGCTATCTTGACATTTTTTGTCTTTAGCCACTAATTCTGCCTTACTACCATGTTATTTTGTGTCTGTAGCCAATTACTCTGCCTTGACATTTTGTGACTTTAGCCGATAATTTTGCCTTGCTACCTTGACATTTTGTGTAATTAGCCAATAATTTTGCCTTGCTACCTTGACATTTTGCGTCTAGCCGATAATTCTGCCTTACTACCTTTACATTTTGTGTCTTTAGCTGAAGACAATAATTCTGCCTTACTACCATGTTATTTTGTGTCTTCAGCCGATAATATTCTGCCTTGCTGCCTTGACATTTTGTGTCTTTAGCCAATAATTCTGCCTTGCAACCTTGACATTTTGTGTCTTTAGCCAATAATTTTGCATTGCTACCTTGACATTTTGTGTCTTTAGCCAATACTTCTGCCTTACTACCTTGACATTTTGTGTCTTTAGCCAATAATTTTGCCTTTCTACCTTGACATTTTGTGTCTTTAGCCGATGATTCTGCCTTGCTACCTTGATATTTTGTGTCTTTAGCCAATAAATTTGCCTTGCTACCTTGACATTTTGTGTCAGTAGTCAATAATTCTTCCTTGCCATTCCTTGCGTTTTAATTACATTTTGTTTCTGAAGCCTATAATTCTTCGTGCTACTTGATCTTTTAATCTCTTTAACCTTAATTGTTTCCCCCAAGCTGCTTTGGCCTTTTATTCTTTCTTACTTTTTATGAACATGGCAACATGGTACCAAGGCGAATATCGAGATTATTGCTCTAAAACGCATTCAACATAATCAGGTCTGACAGATAGACAATGCCATATCATATTATGTCCTGTCAAAAATTGTAAATGGAATCAACCGTATCAAGGCTTTAATAGATCTAGAAAAAGGACATATATAGGTCTATATACTACTAATCAGGAGTATCCCCAATCAAGCTTTCCCCCGGCAGTAGCTTGATCAACAGATGCTGACTATGGTACCTCTTCGAGTCCTTGTCGTCTGCTGACAGTATGTCGTTGATAGTGTCTGGCAGGGTGGCGTTTAGGGTTTCAGGTAGGACCAGTGATACCAGGCCAGCAGACAGACCCAGACACCCGAATATAATTAGAGGGAGGGCCTTCCCAAACATACTGTCCACAAGTAAAGACTGTGAATAAAGAAAATAAGAACTAAAAAGTGTAATCCGCACAATAGAGCATAAACATTCATTGCTTAAAAATATTCAAAACATATCTTAATTCATTATCGCCTCTCCATTTAAGTATTAGCGAAAGTATTGATATCTTGGAATTTAAGTGAGTTGATTGCAACATAGACCCTTCCTACTATTACTGTAATATGAGAGTATGTAAAGCAAACTTGAAAGTCGTGACCCTAAGAAAATGTAAAATCAAATAATTCCGTTTAACGATTGTTCCCTTTTGTTCCATGCCTACCCCGCCGAAGTTAGGAGTACTTTTTTTGTTAAACGGAAATTGCAAGAGGAATGATAACATCATTGAAGTTATGTACCGGAACTGGAAATCTATTGGGGAGGATTTCAAGGCAAAGAAAACTCTAGATCAGTGACTAATGCCACGTTAGATAGAATATCGGACGCCATGTTTGTACGAGCTACCTTTGTATGTAGCTACCTTACACAAGTATACGCAGTGCAATCTAATGAAAATGCACCATTCAAAAAGTCTACCTTATGTGACTTTTATGAATGAATTTGATGAATTTTAATCCCAATTACTTCGAAATTCCATCATATTTGCGACACGGTCTGAAGCTCTGAACATGAACTGTATACGTTAGCGTAATTTTAGTTTGCTGTGTTATCGATAAGGGTCATGGTTGATCTCTTTATCAAACAAAATATATTTAACACAGGGGACTTTTCCAATAGGCAAGATATTTTCCGAAGCATTATCGAACTCTTTTGGTTCACAAGACAAACGACTTTTCTTAAGCATTTTTAACTCATCTCAAAATTAATGCCCTCTCCCAAACACCAAAATCTATCGCAGATGACTGGTATCACGTTGAAATAATCTTGGGGTACTAAAACCATATTGCTTACCAGGTCGGCAATGTAGGGCGATATCAGGGATCCGATACGTGCGAAGATATTGGACGAGGAAAGAATGAAACTACGACTGGACGTTGGAAACAGTTCCGAGGTGTAAATGAAGATATTTCCGAATGCTGCTGAAACTCCGAACTTTCCAATCATAGACAGGGTGATGGTAAACCAACTGAGGGCTGGAAAAAAAGGAATGTTGTTACTTCAGTTTGTACGTTTGGGAAGCAAATAAACAATACCGCAGATTACAAACTGTTCTTGTTTTTCGATATATTCCCACTATATTATAGTTTGTGCGACACGAATGCTCCGACGAAAACATTTGCTTTGTAAGATAATTTTGCATTTGCTTAGATTTCAAACTTCATGTCTGAGGACAATTTATAATATAACATGAGGCCCAATGAGCCTTTACGCTTACATGCGTTCAAATCAAAAATCTCCCAGTCAATTAGATGCCATTTTGGATTTTCTGATTGGCATGAAAAAGAACAATCTTGTGTGGGGATCACGTAAGGAACAGTTGCACGAAGTTTGGAGCATCTATTATTTAAAAAAAAATTAAGATGGACATGAAAGTAAGAATTCTTTTTTTGGGACCACATAACACAGTTTGAAGTCAATCACTTCAACCATTCTTGGGAATCCGAAAATGTCGAAGCAAATTAAACGTGTTTTCCACCTGATCGGCTCGAAAAGAAAGAACACCTTTTAGGAACCTCAAAAGGATCATTTGTAAAAAAGTTAGAGACAATAAGTGCATCCGTCCTAAGAGAAAAAAAGGCGAAAATGTCTTAGCAAATCAGAGGTCAGGGAAGCTATAATACATTTTCGGATTGACAGGAATCGTAATAACGCAAGTTGGGGATTGATGTAGCCGTTCTTAAGAAGAAGTCTTCAGGTAGCTCTGTCAATCAGAAGCTATGGCATTAATCTTGGATCTTCAGATCGAAACGAAAAGTAGCAACACTTATTTCATCATAAACACTTGTACAAAGTTTGAAGTCAATAACCCCAGCCATTCTTAAGGAGAAAACGCGATTTTTTTTGATTTTTTTAAGTCAATCGCTTCAGACATTCTTGAGAAGTCAACAACATCTGAACAAATCGGAAGCCATTGCGGCCATGCTTGATATTCAGTTCGGCATGAAAAGAAAGATCAGTTTGTACCGAGTTTTATGTCAACCAGTTTAGCGGTTCGGAGGAAGTCGAAAATGTTAATTGTTTACGCTCGACGCAATATAACCGACTGGTGAACTTAAAGGAGGAGTTCTTATTTTCTCTTTTAATTAATAACATAGATACGCAGAAACTCTCACATTCGCCTCCCAGCTGCGTGGTTAGTATGGTGGATAGACAGGCCACTCCCGTCAGAACGAGGCTGCCACAGTTCATGATCTTCCGTCCGAACCTGTCGTTGATAACGAGACACGAGCTGTAGCCTAGGGCCTCGACTATGGCGGACACCAGGAAGTTGAGGTAAATATTCCCGCCGATTCTTCCGGCATTCAAGATGAGACCATAGTAGGATAGAGATATGGCAAACCTAAATATAATAAATAGGTGATGTCACACCAATTGATGACGAAAGCAAAAGTATGTTGAAGGCAACTTACACAGTACGAGTTTATGATGAAGGCAAATTTTTGATGACGGCAGGATGAGAAAGACAACTTTGATGTGATTAAAGTATAGGAGGTAAAAAAACCTCCGAATGATGAAGGTATGAGGAAGGCAACTTATTTTAACTAGGCAAATTAACGGCGAAAAAAGGTGTGAGGAAGGCAACTGATAAAGAACGGATTAGGAAGGCAACGAAAATAACGAATAATTGACCAAAGTATGAGGAAGAAGAACGAGGACGGCAACTTATTGATGATAAAGGATTAGGAAAACAACTAACAGATGATAAAAAGGATTAGGAACCAACTTAATGATGATGAAAAGATGAGCAATGTGAAATACTGATTATGAACGGATGAGGTAGGCAACTTATTGATGAAGAAAGTATAACGAAGGAAACTTATTGATGATGACGTATAGCGAAGGAAACTTATTGATGATGACGTATAACGAAGGAAACTTATTGGTGTTGACGTATAACGAAGGAAACTTATTGGTGATGAAAGTATAAGGAAAGCGAATTACCAATTACGAAATATTGATGAAGGAAACTAAAAATGACGGAAGTATTAGAGCCACCACTTACCAACAAACACCCAGTCAATATGCGTTGTTGTTTAACATTTTGAGGTATGTGTGTAATTTTATATGATTAAAATTGAATGAAAACTTGTATGTTGTTTTTAAAAAAACTAATATTTCTCTAAGAATGAAAGTCTTTCTATGTCACAAAGTATACTTTATAGTCAGCCCTACTAAATGTACTTTATATGGAATTGTATAAACGCTGAATTCTACCAATGGCAAAGTTAGTATATTCTCGGTTTTCACAGGGACTAAACAAAACTCTGTATAACTATATAACCGTACTGCTACCAGTACCATCAAATAAACTCACTTGTTCATCAAACGATGATCAAAAGCTTGCGATAATAGTTTTTGTATTCCTTTGTCCGTTTGTTAAGATTATGTGTTTTTATCGAAAAATCAAGACATCGATGTGCGCTCTTAAAAGGATTAAATATTTCCCAATTACAAATTTTTAAGTCGCATTTTTCTTTCTGCTTTTAAATCGCCTCCAAATAAAGTGCCAATATGTTCGTGTGGAATTTCCTTACGAAAATACCTACCAAATAAATGACACGATGGTCCATCTGAGTACGAGCTTAGGCTTTTTCAATAAGGTTAGAATGTCCCTCAACGACCCACTTTCCCGGCATACTTCTGTTATCTCTCCGGTCAAGGTCGTTCCGTTGACCTTGGCTATTTTTCGGAGGATTTGCATAGCTTGTTTTCTCCTTCCCACCAAAAGAAGCCACCTGGGGGATTCTGGAATGATACTGCAACGGAAATTATTACTGTGTACTGTGCCTTTTTCTAAATCATCATTACAGCGAATATACAAAGAAATTTAATATGAAGGGCGAATTTTATATTGGACGAAGGGCGAAATTTTAACTGGGCGAAAATTTTCCGGTATACAGTAGTTCTGCCGTACTGTTTATTTCGATAGGAGTGGCAAGGACCTGATTTCTCGTTAAAATTGCTAAAGACACAGCATTGTAAATTTATTCACAGTATCTTCCATCATTAGAAAGCTCATTGGAGCTTGTTTCGATGTCTGAATATTTTTTCATACACTGTTACATTAATTCACTTCCGGTTTCGCGCTAATAATATTTACACTATTTACATTTAGCATTAAATGTTCTAGTAGACTGAATTTCCTGGGGTGATTTCTCAAATGCACATTTAGTCGACTCTTGTAGGTGTTTGCTCACTCAATTTTAGTTTATCGTCAATTGTTACCCCGAGGTCTTTTTCCGTCCTTGTTTTGGTGATGTTGATTTCCTGGCCTTTGTTGACTATTCCATATGATGATGTTTTTGGTTTATACTCAATCTCCATGTGTTTGCATTTCTCTACATTTAGTTCCATTTGCCACGTTTCTGTCCATTCGCAAATGTTATTAATGCTAGTTTGCAGGTTAGCTCTATCTTCAGGTTTGGATATTTTGCTGTCGAGTCTGGTATCATCTACACACATTTTTATCACACAGTTAACCCCATCTGGCATGTCGTTCACATAGATCAGGAATAAGAGGGGTCCTAAGACGCCCCCTTGGGGGACTATACTGGTGACTGGTAGGGTATTTGACTGTCCTATTAAGGACGACTCTCTGGGTCAAGTTAGACAGGTATGCTCTTATCCAATCTAGTATTTTTCCCTCTTATACCATATAGTTCCAGTTTGTGCAGCAGCAGACGCTGAGAAACTTTATCGAATGCTTTGGCAAACTTTAAGAAGACTACGTCCACATTGTTTCCAGAATCCATGATTTTTGTCCTGTCTTCGACTGACTCTAAAAGTTCTAAATCCATGTTGACTGTTGGTTAGCAGGCTATATTGGTTCAGATGTTGTAGAATATTGTCTCGGATAATTCTCTGAATTAATTTGGATATGACTGACGTGGGACTAATTGGTCTATAGTTACACGGATTTATTTTAGACCCTTTTTAGAAAATTGGTGTTACAAAAGCCTGTTTCCAGCACTCTGGTAGCTTGCCTTCTTCTAGGGACATGGTGAAGATTATTTACAGGGGTTCTGCTATTTCTTCAATTGTATTGGTTAGCAACATTGGGTGGATATTGTGTGGTCCAGCCGCTTTGTTTGGATTAAGTCTGTTGATTGCTTTTGTGACACTTTCTGTTGTTATTATGATGTTGTTCAAAGGTTCTCTATATGTTCTAGGTAGAATGTTTGGCTCATTGATGTTTGTGTCATTGACGAACACATGTAATTATTCAATGTTTCTGATGTTTCTTCAGCATCTGTTGCAAGCGTTCCATCAGGTTTAGTTAGTTTGCTTAACGTGCTAGTCCTTTTTCGCAATTTCTTATTGAGTTTTTCGCTTGTGATGTCACTTCTTGTCTTGCTTTTCTAAACTTCTCAAAATTTTCTTTAGTTTTGCAGTACAATAACCGAACACATGCCTTGTGTTTTTTATGAATAGCCGCCATCGAGCTGTTGTCTATGTATGCTTTTTGTGGATTTTCCCGTTGATACTTTGCTCACTTATATATTTCTTTTCATATTGCTGAATAGTTTTTCAGCAAAGTAGTTCCAGGTGTCCACTGTACCTTCCATTGACTTTAGCTCACCTATGTCCAAGGTCTGTAGGTCCTCTCTGATGTTATTATTATCTCTTCCATGATAACTCAATTTGTCAATTTTGTTGGGATAGGGTTTTGAATAGCAAAGAAATTCAAATGTTAAGACGATATGGTCACTCTTGCCTAATCCTGGTTGGTAGTTTATTACATCAATCATGTTCTCTTCGTTAGTTAACACTAGATCTAGAAGAGAGGGTACTTGTCCTTATAACGAGTTGGTTCACTAACATGTTGCGTACATGCAGAAAGCAGTCGCGAACTTTCCCGACAAATTTGGATGCTATGTGGCTGTTGTTGGTATTTGAATTAAGTGTCTCCCAATCAATTTCTTTCAGGTTGAAGTCTCCTACCAGTAGTAGATGTGACATAGGCATTGCAGATACAGTATCCAGCAGAAGTTTTATGTTGGCTTGGTCATCACTATTTTGACTGATTAGCACAAATTTCTCATTGTCGTCGTCAATTACTGCCTCCCCTGCTGCGAGGTGAGCTGCGGTGTCTGTTACTACTCCTGGTTTCTTATGTTTCCCAAAGAAGGCATTATACACTTCGATATTAAAGGTCTGCTCGTCTATCGGTATTGATATTGACTTTGGATTTATTTCAGTTAGGCAGATAACATCTGGGCTTTTTCGAGTAATGTATTTCTTTATTTCAGCGTTTTTTGGTAATTGTCAGGACGTCGATATTTGAGTAGAAAAAAAGACACGAAGCCCTCGTTTTTACATCATTTAAAAGAGTAAAACTGTCAGCCTATGCACGATTTACTTCGGGCGATGTAGGTGGAACATAGCTATCTTTTTCAATTAGAGTAACGTCCAGAACAGAATTATTTGCCGGTGTTGGGTAAGGAAATGTGTTTTCATCGGACTCATCCAGTTCGCCAGAAAGGGACCAATGATTAACAATAACTCTTGATATAGGGCTTTGTACAGTCAGTTGTACAGGGACTGTTTGCTCTTTTTCAGGTATATGTGAATTTGGTACATTTCTCCTGGGTTCATTAGGTATATGATTAGTATGTACAGTAGCAGTCGTTGTTATGATATTTGGCGCTGTAGTTTCCATTTGTGCCCTAGCTACTTTCCTCTCCTTTATCTGTTCTGGCGTCCTATCCTTTGTTAGTATGGCATTCTTAAGATGTACTGGAGCTTTTGTTGGTATCTCTCTTGCGTTGTTTCTTATTTGCCAATATAACGATAAGTGGCCTAGTTTTATTTTGGATATATTTCCCCAGCCTGAAATGTGTTGTTATGGCTGCATTTGCCAGACCTAGACTTGGAAATAACTTTGTAAAGTCTTGTTCATCCTTTGTTTTGTTTTCCAATTTGTTGGCCGATGTGTTTTCCGGTATGTTGAACATTATAATGTTGGTTTCTCTCGCCTTACGGTCCTCTAGTTCCTTTGTTCTTTTGTCGACTGTGCTGTTGATTTCAACATTTAATTGTTCTAGTATGACGTGTCTAGTGTTTGTCATTTCCTCCTTGATCTGATTTCTAGTTCAAGATCATGTAGTCTGGTACAATCCCTGTAATTCTCTAGTCATTTGACTGACAAAGCTGGCTTATGGCAGCATTGATGTTATCTAGTGTTGGTTTGGTATGTTTGCAGCTCCCGCAGCACCTAGACATGTCCGCTAGTTTTCCATTTTGTATACAGGCATATACAGTGCATACTTGTGCATTTCTGACAGAAGAGTAGCTTACAGCCACTACATGGTAAAGTGTTAGATGTTGTATCTATTTTTGTTTCACACCTTCCGCAGAGTTCTAGAGATGCATCGTCACGAGACCTTTTATAACGATTTGTAGGAATGAAGTTCCCACCCTCAGCCATTGTGTAAATCAACTGAAGTGGCGAGATAATCCCACCTGCTCCTAGTTAATATATAAACTTAGCAGTTCATGTACTGTAGTGGTAGATATTGGAATAACTTTGTCGTTATAGCGTTGTGTGCTCGAGAGGTAGTGATGAAATATTATCACAAGCTACATGTCGTGTAACAATCAGAAAGTTTGCTTGAGGCAAGGTTAATATGTAGCGGAACTGGACTTGGTCGATCGTCGGCGACCAGATAGCTCAATTGGTAGAGCATCCGTCTAGAGCTCGGAGGGTCCTGGGTTCGAACCCCGATCCGGCCGTTTATTTTTCCTCTCCTGTTACATTTGGCACCCAACAAAATATACCCACAGAAGGTGGTATATGGTCTCGTGTGTCTTCGGGGTCGAAGACTTTGTTAAAGGAGGGAGGAATGTAGCGGAACTGGACTGGGTCGATCGTCGGCGACCAGATAGCTCAATTGGTAGAGCATCCGTCTAGAGTTCAGAGGGTCCCGGGTTCGACCCCCGGTCTGGCCGTGAATTTTTCCTCTATTGTTACAAATATACCGTATAGAATGGTTGCACTGAGTGACCGTTAGTGTTTTGCACAAGTCGAGTTACAGTGATTAGTTAAACACACCTTCTTATATACCCTGTATATGGTGTATACTTATCAATAGACAGAAGCTTACATCTTATATACCCAGAAGCTTAAATGATGAGTTATACTCACCTACTCAACGTCCGACATACATTGACCTTCTGTATGTCATGACCTGTTGTGCACTACATAAGTGGAGTAGTAGTGGTGAGGTAATCCCACCTAATTACACACATTTATATTGGTTTCCTATTCGATGATCAGTAAGTGATGAGTTAAACTCACCTACTCAACATCGGACATATTATTAGCGCTCTGGTAGGGTGTCTCTAACACCATTGTTGGATTCAATTTGAATTTGAATTAGCAAATGTTAAGTACTTATACACGACTGATCATGACTGATGAGTTACACTCACCTAGTAAATATTGATCATAAGCAGTCCTCTTCCTCTGTATCCACCGTTACTGTCAGTATATCGTCCCTATAGTACATTTCGTGGATAGGATGAGTGTCCTTTATTAGTGGTTTTGTCCAAACTTCACAAAGAGTTTTCCCTGGATGGACACCATCCTTCAATAAGGTGAAGTTGTACGAATATCTGGGCAGTTTACCCTTCGATTTTCTACACCGCTGTAGATTGTTAATTGGTTTCAGATTTGACTGATCGTTGGACGTGTTAAGTTCGGCAATATGTTGATTGAGAAGTTTATACTGTCTTGTTGCTTCCTTATCATGAACGATGATATTAGTGTCCTGGGACAAACCTCTGTACTGGTGCCACTTACTAATGCTGAATGGAGAGCATTCTAAGAGTTTTATTACTGCCTCCCCATTATGTTTGTTTACACATTCGATTGCCCTTCGGTAACCTCTTCCAACTTCATTAACGGTGTCGTCGCAATGGAGGCTTCTGATAGCGATAATCCTACCTGACTTCATCCCGATGTCACAGGTGCTACTCCACAAGTATATTGCAATTAGCTTATGTTTAGTAATCACTTATCGATCCTTTGTTCAATTGTATCTACAAGGCTACAAGTCCTCCCTCCACTGATACAACATAACTCGAAAGGGAAATGATTGTTATTCCCGCTGAGAAATTGGTTTCCTAAGGTATATCCCTTACTGTCAGATACTTATACAGGCTTCCTGACGATGTTTCCTCCGTCCCCAACATCAATGAACTCGACCGGATTTTGTATTTTTGCCGAGAATAGAAAAACGGGTTTCTACTCACAGTTTTAGGCCACGCATTCAACAGAACAGAGCAGACCTGAAGCAAACAGTTGTTTTCATCCTGTAAACATCCTGGTTCATCCTCAGTGGACCCACAACTCCAGTTCGAAATCATGAGCACATGGGCGTCATCTCTTTTTCTTGACCGACAGGAACAGAGCCACAAATAATGTCATACACCTTTCTCTAGTACCGATTTTTTACACAAATACCGTCGCGTCAATGGATACCTCGTCAACAGTTTTGACACACTTCTAAATATATTTCTATAAGGATCCCATTATTTCTGGTGGATGTTTTCTAAACTTGATACGGAGCAATTCTAGAATCGGCCATCTCGATTTGCGCGCGCAACCGGAAGTCCTAAATCGAATAGTATTTTTCCAATGTTATGTCGATTTTTCTTATGCTGGGTTATATTTGGACGAGTAATCTGTTTGCGTCTTGTATTTATTCATATATATTTACATTTCCGCTGCAAGTTCCCCTATAAGCAGTACCAGAAGAAACTGCGTCCATAGGGCTATGAACACAATTTGATTAGCGTCGTTTTGAAGCCTCCCGTTCCGCCCCGAATAACGTGAGACAACCATTAGAAGCAAACATTTTGGTGACGTAAGGCTGTTCCAGAAATCTCGTTTGTACTGACGGGCAGTTACTTTAATATCGTATATACAAGGGAATGCATATAATTAGATAAATAGTAATGATAAATTTTTGTATGTAAATATATGTATTGAGCTGTATCTTTCAGTGCCCATGCCTGTATGATCGGTTACAGCCATATAATTATACCATGAAGCGAGCTTTGTGGAATCCCGCTTCATAGAATACCGCTTCATGGAATATGTTTATAACTTATTTGCGTTCATACATTGAAAAAATGTAGTTTAGACTTAAGTATATATACTTTGTAACGCCTACTTATGTATTGATTCCGTTATAAAGGATGTGACATGTCCCTGCCTGAAGTTTTCATCAAATTCAGTACTCGCAGATATGTCTTGGTTAATAAGAAGTGTTTTATAAAGTTTTTACGAAAACTTTAATAAATCATGCTTTTAATTAAGAACTGTATCTAAAAATCAATTGAGATAGAACTTTCAACTGTCATTTACATAAAAAACCGTTGACCATCTTGCTGAATTTACTTAGTCATCTTTGACGCGAAATCGCGAAATTAGCTCTGTCGCGAAAACAATGTAAAAAGAGACGTATGAATGGGCGTACACTGTATAGGCGAGCAGAAGAACACAGGGTATGGCCAGGACGAGTTGTAAGGTCCGCCAATCTCTGATAAAGTAGGCCAGACCACACAGTACCACTTCTCCAATACACCACAACAGTTCAATAATGATTCCTACAAACACACGCTTCGTCGGTCCAACCATCTCCATAGCTGTGAAAATAAATACTGTAAGTCAGTCAGTAAATCGCGAGATTTTATTTTCGCACAAGCATCCTATGTACGACCTCGAATTTATTCATAACTATAATGTTCAGGGAATCTATGTTCGCTTTAGATTTATTTTTAGAAAAGTAACTACTTAACAAACTCGCATATTGTGTGTTACTTCTGATTTGTAAGCGGCTTATTATGATAAACGAACTTTAAAAATAATGTACTCTAAAAATAAATTTGACTGACCAAAGAGTTGTTTTTCTAATGTAATCCACGTGTGACGAAAACGACCTGACAGAAATACAAAACCTTGTTTATAGTAAATGGTTTACAGTTATTTTCGCTGTTTGTCGAATGTAAACCAAGGGAACGAGGGCATGTCTCGTACTTACGGATCAGCATGCATGGAGCGAACACCATCAGTGATGATAACCCGGTCAGGAAGCGAGTGACAAGAAACATCTGGTAATTGTACGACCAGACGCACGCCATGCTAGATATCGTCAGTGTGAACACACCAATGACCATTACTGGCTTCCGGCCAACCCTGTAGTATATATGAAATACAAAACTGGTTGCAACAGACTTCCGGCTTAATGCAACATCGAAACACAGCATTGAAAAAAAAGCATTTACACAACATTGCTTATAGCAAACAACCAACACAACATCAATACATACACAACACATTGACGGTAGTACATTTTTCTTCGTGTCATGATGATCGTTATTGTAGGACCTGCACAGAAAAATATTTTATTTCTTAATTTGATATGAAGGTCGATGTTTTTGATAATGCTCCTTAGGGGGCCTTGTGGTTTTGCTGTCACTACTCGATCGCGAGTTCTCGATGCAAAGACGTGACATTACTTGGTTTCGACTTAGATTTACACGGCGGATATCATCGAAAAAGCAGAAGACGCATACCCTTTCGGAACGTCTGGTCTTAATCACCTTATACTTTTTCAAGGGTCTCCATGTCAGTGTTTCCCCTTTTTATATGGCAAATTGTATCAACATTTTATTCGAAATATGATTTTTTGTTGATACTTCGTTTATTCTCTTGTTGGTTTTTATAAAAGTATACCTACACATCGCCCAACATTCCCGCCAAAATTACGCCAACTAAGGTCCCGCCAAAGAACACCATTGACGCGTGTGAACGAAGCACGACATTGTCGCAGACGAGGTCGAACTGAAAAAAACACATTAATGACATTATAACTTACTGTTAATAATACACAAGGAAAGTGGAACGAGGGTTAACTTTCCCACTACTATTTCCCATGTCCATCTAAATCAATGATGCAATGTATTATTTTAAGTAAGAATACATTTTTATACAATATTGTATCGAACCAAAAAACATCTAACAAAAAGATAACTTACTGTTATTCACTTCAATTAAGGTTGATAACGTGATTTATTAACCCGGGGAACATCTTAAAAAATGATTAATATAACCTTATTAACTTTGACTTTGGGCGATACAATGATTCACAAACCCCATAAAATATGTAATCAAATAAAAACAATTCCGTGCATTTGGCTAGTTTTTGTAAAACTGCAAAAGTTCGGATCTGCGAAAACAGGAATACCATTGATAGCTTCGATTAAGTTTGATAATTATTTATCAACCGGTGGGACACGTAGGCAATTGACGTAATATACTAATATGAACTTCAAGTAAGGTAGATACAATGATTTATCAACCTGATGAAAATTAACTAGTACCATCTCTAATATTTCCTTAAAGTGCAACTGCGAAAATAGTGATTCGCAAAAAATAAGAAATGTACAGTAATTACACTGCCTCCATTACATAAATATCAATTATGGGCTTTTGTTGAGGTGAATATGTGGTTATATGAACCCGAGAAAGCGATATTAACCGAGAGGAAGTAAGAGTGACGGGCACTGATGTTATGAAATGTATTATCAACTAGTTTACATTTTACGGTCTCCTTTATTCACATAGAAGATTGACATCTTGAAATACAAATATCATAACAAGCAGATTTTTTTTTAGAATCTATTGAAGCAGCGCACAGGCACATGAGCAGTTTAATTTGCCTTACCATCCTTGACTATGTAATTTATATCGATTAATTCTCTGTGTCTGATAGTTGACACCTATGACGTCACATTTGTTTTATATAAAAATGCTGGAAATGCCTTGAATGCTAAATAGTTTGGGCAGGTACCAATGTTGATTTCAGACTGATATATCTCGAAAACAAGTCTACAGATTTTGGGCAGAATGAATCGAATGTACAGAAGAGCAACTCAAAACTGACAAGGAAAATACTTACTGGTATATAAATAGCTAAAATTGCGCCGTAAACAAAATTATTCGCATGCTGACTAAGCTCAGTGAATACACAAATATGAAAATCGGAGAACTGATTAATAGAAAAACGAAATTTTGTAAATTCATACAAAACTCACATCAGAAATAGGCGTTTTTGACATTTCGTCTGTGCTATACTCCCACTTGGTACATTTTGTCTGTGACGTCATATTTGAAGTTTCGTTGCAACTGCTGATGTGGCACTGTAACGCCTCCTGATTGTGACTTCCGTTGGAGTGGTTACCAAAGAGAATGGAAACATCCCGCGAGGAGTTGACATATTGCAGAGTAGATAAATCATGTGTTGAATTTATCGGTACTTCGGGAATTTGACAACTACAAAAGCAAGTTTGAACACTTGTATATAATGTGAATGAGTATTTATTTCCAAACGATTTATTTTAAGAATGGTGGCATCTCAAATGTTGAAATTTCCGTTATGGTCAGTATTTTGAAATCATTATTTCGATCTTCGAAATTCTAGGGGCTATGCTAAGTTACGTATGCGCAGATGAAGTAATAGAGGTAACCCCTGGAATTTCGAGCACGGTGAACGGAATGATTGGGAAGATGAATTCAATTTCAACTATCCATAAGTTAATGTCATTTGACCTAAATTTAAGACTTGAGTGAAATATGATAACTTGTGTAACTGATAAAATTGATTTATAGCACTAGTATCACTGAAATAAGACACCTAGGTAAATATTTGGTACATGTAAACAAAGTTGAAGGTCACAACGGCTACTTTGAATGCGTGTTGTTGAACTTTACAATCAAAGTAGGTTCATTTACAAAGGCTATTCGGGGTTAAATGTAAGAAAATATTCGTTCACAAACAGAACTGTTGACACCAATTCAATATTTGAACAGCACTTGATGATAAAGACTCGTTTACGGAAAGTGCCGACGGTTCCCGATTGGATGTTAAACTTAGTCCGGGGCTGTTGTTTTAATGCACATGACGTCATATCAATAACTCGATATGTCATGCCCTATTTTGTCCATTGAAAGATTGGCGTTTTAAAATGGTTTGTTGATATATCGCGGGAGATGTATAAAATAATTGATTACACGATATAATTTTGACCTAAAGAAACATATATGCCGGGAAATTTTCGTGCAGTCGAACTTTCTCCCTTCATCCATAAAATCCATTTTCGCTCAGTGTTAATTCCTGCTTCACATTTCATTACTACGTATATTATGCTGGCTACTTATAGTCGCTAATGATAAATTCGCCTTCATTACGGAGGGCGAAAAAGACGAAAATTAAACTGCAGCGAAAACGCCAGGTATACTAGTGTTATGTTTATTGACCCAAGCAGGTATTTGAACAACGATAACATATAAAATATGTATTTTACCCGTGTCCGTCAAAATGGCAATCAAAAGAATCACAATGATCTGTCTGTTATCAGGGGATCTGGTACCGTTACAAAGTACTTGGTAATGGTTACGCTTAGCATGGCAAGTGGTTTCAATAGACATTACGTTTGAACAGGCATGGAAGTGAGTTATTGTAACTTCTAAAATTAACAAATCAAAGGTACATACCTCTATAGCCGTGTCCTTAATACTACAGTTTTTTTTATTATCACTAGAAATACAGATCAAGTATAAGACCATGTTTGTTTAAATGGGTTATATTTACTCAGTTGTCTAGCCGTATCTAATATGTTGGCATATGATCACAACTTTATCTGTTCATGTCGTGTTGGGTGTACTCCGTCTTTGCGTATTGCAGAGTTATCTTCTCTTGTGAGCAGGTATTGATTGTTACGTCATTGGTTTGTGTGAGAAAATTACGTCGTTTTCTCAAAAATTGATGACGTTGCTCTCACAAACAAATGACGTAACAATCAATACCTGCTCACAAAAGAAGATAACTCTGCAATACACAAAGACGGAATATGAATCTAAGTAACTTTAAAGATGAACGTAACACACAGGTGATTGCACCTTTAAGGTTAAGTAACACCAAGATACACTAAGCCTACAGTGATTGCACCTTTAAGGTTAAGTAACACCAAGATACACTAAGCCTACAGTGATTGCACCTTTAAGGTTAAGTAACACCAAGATACACTAAGCCTACAGTGATTGCACCTTTAAGGTTAAGTAACACCAAGATACACTAAGCCTACAGTGATTGCACCTTTAAGGTTAAGTAACACCAAGATACACTAAGCCTACAGTGATTGCACCTTTAAGGTTAAGTAACACCAAGATACACTAAGCCTACAGTGATTGCACCTTTAAGGTTAAGTAACACCAAGATACACTAAGCCTACAGTGATTGCACCTTTAAGGTTAAGTAACACCAAGATACACTAAGCCTACAGTGATTGCACCTTTAAGGTTAAGTAACACCAAGATACACTAAGCCTACAGTGATTGCACCTTTAAGGTTAAGTAACACCAAGATACACTAAGCCTACAGTGGATGCACCTTTAAGGTTAAGTAACACCAAGATACACTAAGCCTACAGTGATTGCACCTTTAAGGTTAAGTAACACCAAGATACACTAAGCCTACAGTGATTGCACCTTTAAGGTTAAGTAACACCAAGATACACTAAGCCTACAGTGATTGCACCTTTAAGGTTAAGTAACACCAAGATACACTAAGCCTACAGTGATTGCACCTTTAAGGTTAAGTAACACCAAGATACACTAAGCCTACAGTGATTGCACCTTTAAGGTTAAGTAACACCAAGATACACTAAGCCTACAGTGGATCCCACAGCTACATAATACAGCTGTGTCGTCCGCCTAGAACTCATCGGTCCCACAGCTACATCATACAGCTGTGTCGTCCGCCTAGAACTCATCGGTCCCACAGCTACATCATACAGCTGTGTCGTCCGCCTAGAACTCATCGGTCCCACAGCTACATCATACAGCTGTGTCGTCCGCCTAGAACTCATCGGTCCCACAGCTACATCATACAGCTGTGTCGTCCGCCTAGGGCTCATCGATCCCACAGCTACATCATACAGCTGTGTCGTCATCGGTAATTCTCCTCGCTCAGTAGTGATATTATATTAAAATATTATTTGAAACTACTTTGTTATAAGTGTACATGTATAATAAAAGTTATTTAATATTCGTTAATAGCGCGTTAAATAGTACTTTAATGACATACCATGATTCTTTTTGACTGTTTGAAGCTATGTAGTGTTTTCATTATGATGTCATTATTTCATGACGTCACATATATACATGTAGTAACGTCACAAACATAATCATATTGTTAAATACTGTACTTTCAGCAACTTTACGAAATATCATGCTGTAAAAATGTACGTGATATCATTAATACATGTCTGTAGGTATACATATATTTGAATGGAATTGTCCTCCGCCATCTTGTACATTACATATGAATTTTGAATATCTAATTATGTATATTTGTAACCTATATGCTGTATTGCATTTGGATATAATAAAACCTGAACTTGAATATGTTACCTGTACATTTGTTTACCTGTGGTGATGTTCGTTGAGTGTGAACACTGTGATGAGTGTTAGAGAAGCAGTGAGCATGTTTGGAATCACACAGAATGCATACAGCCTTTTCTGGTACGTGCCGAAATCTCCAATGGAGGCGAGAACATCGTCAAACGTCTTCATTTTTGTTTCTGTGAATGCTATCGGCTTAAATGATCCGTTTTAATGTTAACATTTGTTCAAACAAAATTAATTTCACTCTTAATGAAACACGGTATTATGTAATATCCTTGTTAGAACTGGTTCCTGTCTCCTGTACACCGAAACTATAGATTAAGAGTTGTTGGTTTGNACACTCTATGGTAAGTCCCGGTGATACAAATGAAGACACTCTATGGTAAGTCCCGGTGATACAAATGAAGACACTCTATGGTAAGTCCCGGTGATACAAATGAAGACACTCTATGGTAAGTCCCGGTGATACAAATGAAGACACTCTATGGTAAGTCCCGGTGATACAAATGAAGACACTCTATGGTAAGTCCCGGTGATACAAATGAAGACACTCTATGGTAAGTCCCGGTGATACAAATGAAGACACTCTATGGTAAGTCCCGGTGATACAAATGAAGACACTCTATGGTAAGTCCCGGTGATACAAATGAAGACACTCTATGGTAAGTCCCGGTGATACAAATGAAGACACTCTATGGTAAGTCCCGGTGATACAAATGAAGACACTCTATGGTAAGTCCCGGTGATACAAATGAAGACACTCTATGGTAAGTCCCGGTGATACAAATGAAGACACTCTATTGTAAGTCCCGGTGATACAAATGAAGACACTCTATGGTAAGTCCCGGTGATACAAATGAAGACACTGAATGGTAAGTCCCGGTGATACAAATGAAGACACTAAATGGTAAGTCCCGGCGATACAAATGAAAGATCTAGAGCATTCAGACGAAGACACACGCTATGGTAAGTCCTGGTGATACAAATGAAGACACACTCTATGGTAAGATCGATCTAGCATTCAGATGAAGACACACGCTATGGTAAGTCCCGAGGATTCATCGAAAACACGCTATGGTTAGTCCAGATGATACATGTGAATACACGCCGGTAAACCAGGGAGAGATATTAAAACACCTTCTGTTATAAATTCCAGATAAGAGATTGGGACACTCCATAGAGGTCGCATATGACCCGATTATCATAAACGACAGATCTTTTTATCATAGTTTGTTGTAGTTCGTCTTTTCTAAAATGTTCAGTCATGTAAACAAATGTAAAGTCAAACGACGAAAAGGTTTCTGATAGTATGCGGCTACATGCTTGCTCCGGAAAGCCTATTCTGGGCACGTGCTACTGCTTTTGTAGTAAAACCTACACCGTAACGACAACTGCTGACGTTGATACTAGTAAAACGTCGTAAAGATAAGTCCAGAACATCTCGTCTTATCTGTAACTGCACATATCACCCGTCAGGGTAGAAAGCTATTTACTTAAAGGTATGTGACTATTGTGTTCCTCTACACAGGGACGCGAGAAGTGAGAATTTGTCACAGCTGTATTTGGACCTAAACTAAGGTTTTCAGAGTAAAGGTACACGTTTTCGGGGGTTTAGAACTCGTATATATCATCATTAGGGGTGGTAGTGTTTAGCTAGAGTTGATATAAACCCCTGAAATCTGAAAAACTACTCTGAACACCTTAGCTTAGGTCCAAATATAACTGTAACAAATTACCAGGTACCTGTCTTCTCCACTACTGTACAAAGCTAGGGTACACCAAAGCCTACAGGGCAACGACGAATGGTACAAACAATTTAGCCCACCAATTCGACTTTAATATGTGCTAGCGGGGAATCGTCTCCAGATACGAATACTCTATTTTGATAGTAACTTAAACCAGTTGTGTAATTTATTTGGTTAGGAAAGTCCGTATATATAGTTATAAATGTGTGTAGAGTCTCCCAAGTCTGATCATTCGGAATGTTTTTATTGTTATTTCGATAAATGTAGCTTTTCCACGGAGATGCGTTAAGGGAGGCCATGCTTCTTTATTTAAGGGTCCTCATACCACTGCTAAAAATTGAATCTATTCAATGGGATTTTTTTCCGTACATGTCTTTAGCTTTCATAAATCATTTCTGAAAATAAAAACGTACATTGAAGGATTTGTTTTGAAAGGCGAAAATAAAATAAATAATACATGATCAGACCAGGATTCGAACCCTGGACCTCTGATCATTATACTATTGCTCCAACCAACTTAGACACCCGGTCAGCAGAAGTTTCCTAGCGAGGTCAAGGTACAGTTATATCAAACATACTTGCCAACAATTTTTAAAATGTTCATGGGAAAGATAACTCGTGCTTAGAGATTTAAAATGTTTATGGGAAAGATAACTCGTGCTTAGAGATTTAAAATGTTCATGGGAATGATAACTCGTGCTTAGAGACTTAAAATGTTCATGGGAAAATAACTCGTGCTATGAGATTTAAAATGTTCATGGGGAAGATAACGCTTGCTTAGAGATTTAAAATGTTCATGGGGAAGATAACTCGTGCTTAGAGACTTAAAATGTTCATGGGCAAGATAACTCGTGCTTAGAGATTTAAAATGTTCATGGGGTAGATAACTCGTGCTTAGAGATTTAAAATGTTCATGGGGAAGATAACGCTAGCTTAGAGATTTAAAATGTTCATGAGAAAGATAACTCGTGCTTAGAGATTTAAAATGATCATGGGGAAGATAACTCGTGCTTAGAGATTTAAAATGCTCATGGGGAAGATAACTCGTGCTTAGAGATTTAAAATGATCATGGGAAAGATAACGCTAGCTCAGAGATTCAAAATGTTCATGGGAGATAACGCTAGCTTAGAGATTTAAAATGTTCATGAGAAAGATAACTCGTGCTTAGAGATTTAAAATTTTCATGGGGAAGATAACTCGTGCTTAGAGATTTAAAATGTTCATTGGGAAGACAACTCGTGCTTAGAGATTTAAAATGTTCATGGGAATGATAACTCGTGCTTAGAGACTTAAAATGTTCATGTGCAAGATAACTCGTGCTTAGAGATTTAAAATGTTCATGGGAAAGATAACGCTAGCTCAGAGATTTAAAATGTTCATGGGGAAGATAACGCTAGCTTAGAGATTTAAAATGTTCATGGGAAAGATAACTCGTGCTTAGAGATTTAAAATGTTCATGGGGAAGATAACTCGTGCTTAGAGATTTAAAATGCATAAGGAGGCAGGACCACAATCGGATCAGTACCTAAATCGGATCACTTCTTGCAAAAATACTTTTAAATCAATGTGTCAACAGATCAGTTATAACAATGATGTAGCCTTAAAACAGATAGCCATGCACCATTTTTAGTCTGCAGACGATTAGTTTTTAAGTTAAGATAGCACCAGAAAACGCAATTTAAACTCAAAAGTCAGTTTTCTGTTTACGTTTTTAAAAGATGGCGCGTGCAACGACTATGCATTCTGTTTTGGACTATTGGAATAAATTCACCCAATAGAAATACTTATTTTCATATAAATTCCAAAGGTCATCATAAAATGTTCATATGCTGACAAAAAAATCATTTGAAGTGGAAGGTACTGCCAAATTCAAGCCTTGAACATCGATATTCTTCCTTTGATATAATCATAAATAAATATAATATCTTCCTCAGAATTTTCACTTAATGAATAAAATGATGGTTTGGTAATCCGATTTGGGTACTGTCACTTTAAACAAAATGTGTGTTTGTACAATCTAGGGGAAAATATCCCTTTTAAATGGCATCTTTTGGGCTGTTCTTTTAGGTGAATTCATCAGATCTTAGAAAATAGGAATGGTTCACTGGTTGAAAATGCTCAATTTTTAGGGTCCAACATCGGTAGGCTCTCTCTTAACTGGGAGACTAGAGTTGACAAGTGTAGTGGGACAGGGAATTTTACAGTCTATAATTAACCAGAGTTCACATTTGTTTATTGTCACTTCGACACAGTGAACATTTTCAGATAAGGGTCAAGATCAAGGTCACAGTGTCCTCGAGCCTTATTTGGATATGTCATGGCTCTTAAACATGGGTATAACAGTTAATGAGGCATTAACATGGGTATATACGATTAATGAGGCATTAACATGGGTATATACGGTTAATGAGGCATTAGCATGGGTATATACGGTTAATGAGGCATTAACATGGGTATATAGGTTAATGAGGCATTAACATAAAGAGGAATACGGGTCTAACGAAGCGAACAGAAAAAGAGATAGAAAAAATATATGGATAATTCTCTGTTCTGCAAGATAAATGGTTAGATTCATACAACAAGATGACATTTAAAATTATATGTATATAAATATTGAGGTAATATACCTTCAAGAGTTACATGAATATTACACCAGATCATTATATATGATTCCATTTCCAAACCTCTAAAACGACACGACACATACACAAGAAACATTAATTTACCATTGAGGAAATTTCAATAACCTTTTGAAAATTTAAAAAAATATACTTACAATTCTAAATCTTCCGGACCTCAACTCTCTACTCAGCTTTGCTACGCTACGGCAATATAAAGAGGCAACACGCTAGAACAGCTGCTAAATAACAACGGGCCGTGCACATTTCATAAATCATAAAGAAATGACCATTTACGCTCACGCAAATTTTGATTTTTTTTCCTCCAATAAAATTGTACTGAATGTGAGACACTTGTGACGTCACATGGAATCGACGAAAGTGCCATGGGTACAAAGCGTGACATAAGACTGATATGTCGCAATAACGAAATTACTAGTTTACGTCGTATTTTCGACGGTCTGTAGTTAAAATGTATACCGAATGTACAGAAAACAAGAGGCCTTATGGGCCTGCACCGTTCATCTAGTATTACTCACTCACTGGTAACCATCAAGTGGACTAATATATATGACTGAAAGTCATTCAAAAGAACATATTAAAAGATTTAAACATAGTTGACCCCTGTGACCTTGAAAGTCTAACAATGTCATTAAGTTGAATAGGCTTTATACACAAGTCCTTCATCTCAGCATGCAACTTGCCAAATGTCAGCACCCAAGATTATACACATTTGGCTATATGTGACCTTGGAATTAACAAACTTGATTGCGCATTGTCTGAGCACATGCTACTGGCAAAATATCACCACCCTATGCTTTATGGTTATTCAGAAGAAGTTGTTTGAAAGTTTACAACCATATGACCTGGAATATGGGTGAAGGTCATTCATTAGAACAATCTTCAAACTTCCCTAGATGTGAGTGAGCATGTTACTTGCCGAATAG